TGAGGAAGTGGAATGGCAATGCTTTCACCTTGAACGTGGTGATTTGATCTACTTGTAGATGTTATTCCTGAACGCGCAACCTCAGCTGAATGTAACTTATCCACACCCCTGGTGAGCGAGCAAGCGGTAACCCTCATTCGCTTATTTTCTCGGCCCACATTCTCCAGGGCGCTCTACGCACTGCCCTCCACTGTCCCTTGGCAGCCAGGCAGCACATTCTTTGCTTGAGAGCCGTCTGCCAGTCTGGATTAAACAAAACCCAAACAGCCCCAAGCTCTGAATCTTAGTATCAGCATGAAAACTATGGCACCAACTCCCTCCAGATGTACCAGATAGATCTGTATATACTCTTCAGATATATAGAGTGTGGAAGTGCTCTTTTGTGGCTCTTGAAGTAGAGCCCTTAAAGAATCTTACTAGAGCAAAAGCAAAGTGAAATCCTAAACAGAAGAGAATCTTTGACATCAAGTCTACAAGACCGCTGAGGTGAGCGGGGGAAGCTGTGGTGCGATCCGCCCCCTGGTGTGCTAGCGCAAGCTCCTTCTTAAGGGATTCCAAGTGCCTAGTAATTACACTGAAGTAAAACCAGAGTTTATATACCATTTCTTTTTTGACAAGAAGCTCCCCCCTATTTTTTTTACAGACAGTAAACCCCTTAATTTGGCAAACTACAATAGCTCAGATGCTACGCCATCTTCTTAAAGGTGAAGAATTCTTAGAAGAAAACTCAGATCATGTTACTGTCCCGCCTAAAACCCTCCAGTGATGGTTCCCTGCCCTGGAGACGAATCCATGTTCCTTCCCGCGGCGTGGGCTTTGCGTGCTCTGGCCCCTCCTTTCTCTCCAGTGGCATCAGCACCACTTCCCTGCAGCCCCACCCCGTTCCGATCCAGCCCCACCAGCCACTGGCTTCCCGTCAGCGATGCTTTCCCTCCTCGTGGGGTCCCCCCTGCCCAAGCCCGTGTCCTTCCATCTCTGCAGGCTCTCCATCCCTCTCTTCCTGTTGGTCTTGGTTTAAACGTCATCTCCACGGAGAGGTCTCCCCCAAACCACTAATTAACGTCGGGTCCCCCAGCCCACGTGTCTCCTTTCTATCCTCTTCCTTTTCTTCCTTCATAGCACTTCTCCCAACCTGCAGTTTTTGATTTACTGTTTTTCCAGACTGTCTTCCGCACAAGAACGCAAGTTCCGCGAGGGCAAGAAAAGGGTCTGTTCCTGTTCGTGGCTGAAATAACCCCGACATCTATCAAAGCAGGTGGCACGTTGCAGGAGCTGAGTTACCGTGGGTTTCCGACCCAGCTGCATCCCCTCAAGAGATGGCTCTTTGACTCCAGCTCTCACGGTAACAGAAAATTTTCCGCAAGAAAATAAAAGGGAGCTCTGAGAGTAGTTTTTGAATGTCAGTGCTGCCTTTTCTTTTCTACTCTAGGAAGTGACATTTGCTATTATAGTAAAATATTCTTTTTGCCCAAAGTGCTCAAATTCTTCACGTTTTTCTTACTGCCATGAATGTGGCATACTTAGTCCTCAACTCCTTGAAGACCAGATGCTCCAAGAAGCTCATCAATGGATGGACTCAACTGAGTTCAAACTCCCACACGAATCCCCAGATATTGCTTTCGCCAAGGAATAATTTCCAAGACAGGCCTTAATGTGAACGATCCAAAGACACACAACACACTCACACACACTCAAAGACTTGCAGTAATTAATGATGCAACCTGTAAGGACACCCCCGCCAACTATTCCCGTATCAGGCAACTGAAGTCATGACGCCCACGTTTAAAAGAATTCCCCTCCATCCTCGTATTTTTAGGCCTTTGGGTCCAATTCGTCAACGATGGCAGTTGGTGAAATTTCAGGGTTAGGATTCTGGAATGTTTTGAGAAAGAATAAACGAGGGGTATTAAGGGATGCATTTCTTTCCTGTAAACCATCTGCAATACATGGTTCTTTTTGATTCTGGGAGACTTCCGTATCGTGAGAGCAGTCCCTGATTCAGCTCTTTGCAAGTCACCTTTGGGGCTGAGACTTAACTCACACTTTTAACACTCGCCACTCATGTCTGAATCAGCAGTGGGGAGGAAATTGGGAGGAAGGTTCAGGTGTGGGCCAGTTGAAAACGAGCCACTCACACAGAAACCACGGGCACTTACATGGCACTAGAAGTGCTTTCCAGAAACTATGAGCAGGAATTCTGAAAAAAAAAAAAAAGGCTTTAACTCTTCAATGGTTCCAAGGTCCCTGTAAGCTAAATAATAATAATAATACCTCCATATATTTGTGGAGTGATTTACAATTTACAAAGACACATGATCTCATTTAATCCACTCTCCCACTCTCGTGGGGACTCTATGAGGTAAGAGAATGACCACGTCGAGATAATACTGGAGATTAAAAGCAGCCTGGAAATTCTAAAATGGGTGATGGATGACTGAGATGGCTGGAACAGCTTGACCTCCTCCTTACTGTGGGCTTTTGTGATTAATTCACCCACTTGCTTAGGAAGTTTCTTTCCATCTGAGAAAATTAAAAACACCACTCTCTGGACAGGAATGTGGGATCATAAATGAGAACCAAATAGAAAAGATTTACGTGAAAGCACAAGCTCAGCAAAAGAGGAAACTCAGAAATCGCTAATAAGGTATAAATCAAGGAAAGGCTACTAGCAAACCCCTGGTAAGAAAAAAGAAGCTTTTTAAATGATTTGCTGAGCTCTTAACAATACCATTTCTACCTATGATTTTCAAATATCTCCAGGGTAATTTGGCTTGCAATCCTTAAACGCTGCCACGAAGACTTTCTAATTTGAAGGGATTTACACAAAATTATAGAGAGTGCCAGAAAGCAATGCTTTGCTATTGTGCCTCCAGAACTGTAGGACTCTTAGGGCTGTAGGGTCTTCCTCATCTGTGCATTCTCCACAGCAAAAAACACAGGGGTCAAAGTATTTGTTTAATGTGTGAACAAACAAGTGAAAGAATAGGTGGATGAATGAATGGATGGATGGATGGAATGATGAAAAGATGGACAAATGGATGGATGTGTGGATGGATGGATGGATGGAAGGAAGGAAGGACAGAAGGAAGGAAGGAAGGAAGGAAAAATAAAGACTGATCACTCATTTTACTGATAAAAACGTAAGAGCCAGAGGGGTTACTAATTTGCTTGTTTTACCAAAAACAACTAGTGTCAGAATTGAGGCTACCAGGCCTCTTCAATCCCAGTGTAGTATCCCCAATCTAGATTTTCCTGTCTTCCATTCGTCTCTTTTATCAAGAGTTCTGGAACATTAACAATATTAACAGTCCAACCTTCTTAGTCTTTGAGAACCACTTCTGGAGACATAGAGGCTGGTGTGTTTGTGCCTACTTAATAATCAGGGAGATTAAGCACAGACTGAATGTTCTGTGGCCACCTGGAGCTCATCAGGAATGAGCGCATGAAGACCACTCCGTTTCACGTCACCTTCCTGCCAATCTCCCCCCCAGAGATTCTGGACCCTATCTGGGCTGGTGGAATATTGGAAACAGAGGACACCCACAGGCCCTGGCCCAACCTCACCCCCTAAGAAGGGATTCTTTGCCCCAAACACCCAACAAGCAGCTATTCGGCCCCTGCCCGGGGAGTTTAACTGACAAGGGGCACACACTTCTGGCAGCAACCTGCCTCCCTTTGGGGAAGCTCCCCTCATTGAGTTTTGCAACATTTCACTTCCTGTTGGTGCTGGGCCTAAGATACTTTCACTTCCTGCTCAGGTTCTCGGCTTCTGTCATCACAGACTCAGAGAGCAAGTTCCTCTGCTAGGTCTTGGTGAGTCCCTGGAATTGTGCTTAAGACAGAACCTCAAGCAAAAACAATGCACACCTGAAGGCTTTGTGCTGATGGTGATGGACCAGAGAAGCAGTGCCTTGCTGGGAAAAGACGCCTTACTGACCAGCTCCCGAGAAATGACATGATGTGAGCCACGAAGTTCTGCCCTACAGGCCATTCAAGAGGAGGCCCACGAGGCTATTTGTTGTAAACGCGTAACCACGTTCTGTAACAATCCATCCGTCTTCCGGAACTTTTAATGCTCTTTAAGCAGGTGCCCCGCCCCCCGCGTACACCACGACCTCGCAGAGGCCAGCCTTCGGGCTGCCGATCCGCACTTGCTTCTTGTTCCCAGTGCTACCTTTCGGCCAACTCAGAGAGCAGACTTGGCCTAGGAAGTGCTGTAAAGATAAAAGCACTGGGAAGGTCTCAAGGTATAAAAAAGAAGCCGGCATCATAACAAGTGCATGTTTTCCTTCACTAGTGAAAATCTTCCTGCGTTAGCACAGCATTCTACATTGGGAGGGTCCCGTAGAGGTGTAGGGACGCATCATAATCTGTAATCACTCCAAGTTGCATCTATTTCTACCTCCTCTGAATGCTGCAGTAATGAAACCGTCTTCCTTTTTTTTCTGGGTGAATCAAGTCTAGCGTTACAGAAAGGCATGAAATGAGGAAGAATGACATAATTTACTGAAAAGGAAAAGTCCCATCATTTAAACCTTTAAGATCTGAGAAGGGGATGTGGTATTAGAGGCGGGGACCCTACAAATCCCCAAGCTACTGACACATTTCAGCTCCGCCCCAGGGCCAACCCAGAGGGAAGACGCACGTCCCTGCATGGGACCCATCTAACCGCGCCCGCTTTGCCCCGTGGCTTTACCACGCCCAGACGGAGCTGTAGGTGCGAATCAAAACCACATGCTGGGATGGTAGGGTAACTCGCGATCTCTGAACAAAGGCAGGATCCGTGCCCACCACTTCTCAGGGAGGCGCTCAGGTCTCACGCCCTGTGCTCTGCAATCTGGGTGCTTCTCTCAGGGAAGCACGGCCCACGGAATTTCTTTCGGGAAGCTTCCATGGGCGCTCTGGCCAGAAAACCAGGGAGCCCTTTGCCCAGCTGTTTCCCAACACCTATTTCAAGCTGCATCCCGACTCTCAGAGCAGCTGGAAGCGTCAGTACTTGCCCGGTTGAGGGGTTCATGATGCAGCCTCCTTTGTCGGCAGCCATTCTGCAGCTACAGCCCCTCTCCAGGGTGTCATGGTTCATCCCGAAATTGTGTCCCAGCTCATGGGCCAGGGTCACAGCTGCGCCAAGGGGACTGTCTGAATGGTCCTCAAAGAAAATACAAGAGCACAATGTATAGTTCACATCTTTTTGGCCTCTTTCCCAGCCAGCCCCCTCCCCTCAGCCCTGGCCCCCCAGATATCTATCTTTTATAAACATTTAATGGAGTCCAATCTCCTACAAGGAACCAAGATAGAGCCCCATTATATAGTTCAAACTTAAAAAAAGATTTGATCTATTTTATTCAACTAGTTTGGGGCCCCCTCTGCCGAGGAATGCTTTCCTCATGAATACACGTAGGATTCCTTGTGTCTTTACATGAAATAATCAAGGCAATCATTTCCCTCTCGCTTCTTACAATCTCTCACAAGACACCATTCTACTGAATGAAGCAACAAGTTGTCCTGTATCATAGGAAGAAGCAGCTTGCTCCTTCACGGGTAATGAAAGTACCGTTTTATCCTTGATTGAGCCGATGCTCATATAAAGTCGTTAGGGGAAGCATACTTTGAACAGTCTAAATAAGATCTGAGCAATTGTTACTGAGTATGCCTCTTGCTGTCTACTTGGTAGAGGATACTTGGAAAATTCGTAAGAATCCACCATAAAAGCTAAGGACATCGAGTAATCTGTTTGAAGACTCATTGGATTAAGATTGTAATCCAGTTATGCCTTACTCTTGCTGGCCCTTTGTTTTGTCAGGTAGACTTTGGAAATGGATGGAGGCATCCTGACTCTCTGACTTTTGCTCTTGGGAGTTCACTCAACCTTTTGCTTGGTTTTGGAAGGCGGGTTCTCCACCCAGCAAGCACTGCTTGGCCACCCTTAACTTAGTGGAGTGCATGCATGGCTTGGCTAAAGAGATATTAGAAATTAATTTTTAAAATATCATTACTCAACTTTAACAAACTAAAATTAGTTGATTTGCAGAAATGGTGCCCATGACTGGTGTTGCTGAAAGGGCCTGCACACCACAGAGTAATGAAGGTAACATTGAATCCTGCTTTGTGCTACCCAGGAAGGAGATAAGAGGCTACCCAAGAGGTTTCCAGGAAACAGTGACACTTTGCTTTAGAGAATGCATTATTCCTGATACAGACAATCTTTGCGGGGCCTCTTGATATAGGTGTGTTCCTATATATAAGGTTTCATAGGCTTGTTGGCGGTTATAGCTGTAGCTACCTTTCTCACTGGCCCTCAGTCTAAGAAAAGAGTGGCACGTCAAGGAACCAAGTTATTCTTAGAATAGATGAAATTCCTAATAAATGACTTTGTTTAGATTTTAGTTTCCTGTTGTAGGAAGCTTCACAAACATGTTTCAGGAAATCGATTTCCTTCAATCTAAGAATGCTGAGGGCTGAATTTAGCATGCTTTGGCACAAAAATTCAAGGAATTCATCCTTAAAAAATGACTCTGCATCAGATTCTTTTGTATCACTGAATATCTTGGTTTTGTCTTGAATTGCCTTAATTGTTTCACATTCTTTCACGCATAGGTGATTGTACACAGAATGTCTCTTAAGAGACCCCGATAAACAGTTCATATTTCTAATAAGACAAAAACCTATTTCTTTATTTCTGGCGTTATCTCCAAACCAAGACTGTTTTAGTCCAGTTAGATACAAAGGCACGGCTTGAAGTGACTAAAATTAGTGATCTGTTCTGTCTTGGAAAAATAGAGAAACAGTACAGAACTCAAATTTTCAGTGTGATTAGGATTCCTGCTTCCTTGCGACATGATTTCCTTCCTCTTAGATTTGTGAGTCCTTGAAAGAGGCACGGTCGTATGTAACACCCATGAATTCAAATTTAGAGACACAATAGGAGAAAGTCTAGATGTTTTAGATCTGGTCAAGGTATTGATTTTGTTGATCTCATGAATGTTATAGAAACTAAAGGAGCTGTGGACCTTCAGCCTACGTGATGCTTCTCTTCTATGTGGAGTTAACAAAGAGTGAGCCTAAGGATGGTCTTTATTGCTGGCCTGCCCATCAAACATATTTCTTATTGATTAACTTTGGTGTTGACTTGATTCCTACTGCAGTACATACATCTGCTTCTATTTCCCCACATTCATTTTTATCTTTTTTTTTTTTCTTTAAATAGGCTTCCCTGTCTCCTTTTAAAGAAGGAATCTTGACCAAATGCTTGCATGGAAACAGAGTAAAGGACGTGAACTTAAAAAAGTTGCTTAATACCATCAGCTGGGTTATAAGAACCTCTGAACACTCCACAGCTGCAGAACCTGCCATACTTATAAGGAATTCAGTTTCGGCTCTAAAAAATATTTACGCCAATTTTAAGTGGCAAAGTCAGTAGCGATGGACCATGGAACCATGAAACAGAAAATGATTCCCTCTTAAAACTTTACAGGCTGCTCTGTAAAAAGACCGTTGGGATCTGACTTGAAATGAACCTGGCAGCAACAAAACCCAAACTTTCCAGTGACTTCCATGGTGGAGATCACTGGAAGGCCTCCAGGTTCAAAGGAAACCAGAGGGCAGCCCGTTGAAGCCAGAAGTCCACTTGGGTGGGTGCCATCCCTCCAAACAGCCTCCTCAGCCTACACATTTAGTGAATGTTTATGTTAATTACCAGCACCACCCAGAGAAGAGGAAAATATTCATTGTGGATAATCACTAAGAAGATTAGGCTGGGCAGTACGTGGAGAGCAAATAAAAGTCAGCAGAACGTTACTCCTTCAGCCCTTTAATACAATGGAATATTCACAAGTGTTCTGTTTGAAAAATGTGGAGGAATTCATGGTTTCTTGGAAGGGCAAGCTTCTGTTTGTTTAACAGAGATGGTGGAATCGTCTCCGAGGACACTCCCTATCTGAGGGCTGGTGCAAAGGGGACACTGTTTTCCCATCAGGGACAGTGACAGCATGGGGTGAAAACCTTTCCTTTAGTTACCTGAGGAAGGGGAACCTGTCAAAGTTACCTCCCTCTTAAATTCATAAGAAACAAGTCCCCAATAGTCTCCCCATTCTATTTCCTTTTACAGACATATATAATATGACAAAATGATCCTTGTAAAGCAATAAATCTAGGTCTCTGCCTTCCAAGAATACGGTTAGTATAAAGACAGATTGGACACTGGCTAGGAGGTATGTCAAGCATTTGCAGCGGTAAATAGTTAAAAACCTCAGACTTTTGGCTATCGTGCCTGGAGGGAGAACAATCAGAAAGCCATTCTAACGGCAATATTTGGTGAGATCACAGCCCATCCCAGAAGCTGAGCGATGGGGGGAACCCCAGTGACCTGGCTCATCCCAATGCTGGGAGGAATTCCTGGATGGAGGTGGGTGGATCAAAACCCCACTTGAAACTTTTTCTCTGCAAAAGGTGTAGACTGGCTTTCACTGGGCTGTTTTTACACACTCAGTCTTCCTGTGTGCAGCTTGATGTGTTTTATAAACAGTCCCTAGAGTACTGTCAGGTATGGGAGATCATAAGCAGAGCTAGAAAAAGGGTAGAATTATATCTAAGAAGCATTAAAGAAAAGGACCTAATTCTACAAAGTCTGATGAAAGTAGAGATTTCCTAGGAAATCATGAAGAGAATTAGGTCTGGACATCGCTGTCGGATTCTTGGTGCTCCTGGCTTACCATGACGATTCCCCCGGACTGTTCTGCCGTGCACATGCTCATGATGGGCGCCATGCCGATGGTGGTCCCTTGGAAATAAACTCCACTAGAAAGAAAAGAAAGGACTTTCTTAAGTCAGTATAAGGACATTTTCTAATATTTGAAATTCTGTTGGACGTTCCTACATTCCAACAGGAAAACTGCACAAGCATACGCAAAGACGAAAACAGCGGCATGAGAGTATGTTTACAGGTGATTTCTATCTTTGGTTCTTTTAAAATTTATCTTCCAGTTCACCATCGTCTCCTAATCCTTTCAGATTTTTGTTTTCAAGACTCGGGACAACAGCTAGTCACAACTTATATATTTATAAGTTGTATCCTGCTATTTTCTAATGAACTGGGCGGGGAGCTGTTCCTTTTCAACAATGTCTGCTGACGTTAGGGCTGAAAAGAGTCACAGAGAATCACTGTGAACAAATGAAAGGCATTAGATACTTTACTAGATTTTCTGTTGCAGCTGAATTTTGCTTTCCTGGGTAACATTACAATTAGGCCAGAAACCCAAACTCTTCCAAAATATCCTGCTAATATAGCTTGCAAAAGTGAGACTGGCAGAAAAATGACTGACCCTCTGGAGTCAGTGCAGAAGTTAGCACCCACAAAGCCTTGGCATCCCAGGAGGAAGCTTCTGGAAGGGGAGCTCATGGCTTAGGTGTGGCTTTTCCCCCATATGGAATCTTAATCAATGAGTAATGGCATCAAGGCCTCTTGAATGCAATGCTGTTAATTCCAACCTCATGCATTAAAAATTAAAAACTGTATTTGCTGAATCTCCTTTAAGGGAAAAAATGACTTACCCATGTTATCTTGGCCATGTACATATATAGATATTACACATATTATTTGAAAAGTTATATATTTAGCAGTGCTCAATTGGATGAAATGGGATAAGTATATACAAAATATAACTTCACCTATGTATGTATGTATGTATCCAATCATCCATCTATCCAGCCAGCCAACCAGCCATCCTATTACACGCATATGTACAGTAGTAGTGATTGCAGCTTTTATATTTACATCTATATAGACCGTTTCAACAGATACAATTATACATATATATATATATATATATATATATATATATATATATATATATATATATATATATATAAATAAGGTTATATAAGAGGCTAATTTACTTCCAGATGTTCAAGTTGGACAGACTCCGTTCGGGGGAAAAAAATCAAAACAAAACACTCTATTTTTAGTAGTTCAGGATTAATCAATGCATAAAATATGAGGCAACCACAAATATCCAGGGTGGGGAAAAAAAAAACAACCCTATGAAATGGCCAAAGTAAATTATCAGGGAATGCCAACAGCTTCAGTTCAGATGAAGGCCTTTTCGAAAGTGAGGTTAGGGTAGGACTGCTTTTCAGCTTCCCATAAATGTTCAGTAAACTAGATCCAATTTGTCAAAGAAAAGTGTCTCTGACCCTAAAGCTTTCAATTCAGTGATATGAGCTACATGAGAACATAATAATGGCATAAACTGTTTAAGAATCTTAATAAAAAGCTGTTCAGTTTAGGAAAAACCTACTCCATACCAACTTAGATTATGACATTTTTTGTTTAAATATAAAGGTGTCTGTAACATGTTACCAATGTATTATACTATATCATAGGTGTGCTTTCCCTCATTTTGTCATCTTCACGACCCTTATCACGCTCTGAAATGTCTTTGTTTGTTATTGCCTTCTCCCAGTAAACTGGAGACTCCCCAAAGTGGGGAGGTTTACAATGTTGGTCACCATTGTGTTCAAAGCCCTTAAAACATGTTTTGTTCCTCGTTCGTGCTCAATACACATTGATTGAACAACAGAACACAAGGTTAATCTGCGACGCTACTGGTATTCTCTGATCTAGAAAACCAAGAGTAACGGCAAAACCGGAGGAATAAAGATTTTCTTTCTCCAGGCAGCTGACAATGATCACCCTGATGTACTGCCTTCAGATCTTGCATAAATATTTTTCACTAATAATGACAGAAAATGAGCTTTTAAAAAATATACTACTCAGGACAACTTTATATCAAGACTAGGCCTAGAGGGAGGGATAAATTGGGAGTTAGGGATTGACATATACACACCACTATATTTAAAATAGAGAACCAACAAGGACCTACTGTATAGCACAGGGAACTCTGCTCAATATTCTGTAATAACTTAAATGGGAAAAGAATTCAAAAAAGAATAGATACCCGTATATGTATAACTGCATCGCTTTGCTGTACACCTGACACTAACACAACACTGTTAATCAACTATACTCCAATATAAAATAAAAATTGAACAGAAAAGAAATGAAAAGGTCAATAAACAAATAAATAAAAACATGAGAAAAAGAAAAGTATTTGTGAATATCAAAATGTTATTTCGATGGTCTTTATGACACATATAATCTGTAAATTAAATTTGAGAAGCCATAATAAAAACCTTCATGGATTAATAGTATTAAAAAAATGAAAAGCCATAATAAAAACCTTCATGGATTAATAGTATTAAAAAAAAAAAAAAAGACTTGGGACTTCCCCTGGCGGTCCAGTGGTTAAGACTCCACACTTCCACTGCAGGGGGCGTGGGTTCAATGCCTGGCCGGGTATTGAACTAAGATCCCGCATGCTGTGCCGTGCCACCAAAAAAGAGAGAAAAAAAAGACTAAGCCTGGAAACAGTTGCATAGAGGAAATGTCCAGGTGTTAGACGAAGGAAATAAGACATCAGCCAGAGGGATAGTTTTCCCAGGGTATGCAAAGAAAGATTTTTCCAACAGCCCCCAATTTCAATCGAGATGGCCTCTCCCCTCCCCCCCACCCCGCCCCCGCAGTGTGGGCTGAGAAGCCCCCTTTGCCCCTGGTCCAGTCAGTGTGTTCTGCTGAACGATGTGCAGCTTCATGGACTGTCAGGTGAGGCTAAGAGGGAGAGCAGGTGTGCTGAGATCACTCTTTTATTTTAAGCAAAGGAGAGACAACAGATGCCTTACCTGATAAGCTGTGCGTTGTCATGGGATTTGCGAGGTAGAAGCTTCATCTTTCTCCAGTCCAGAAACTCGTGGAGGCTCGTGAATGGGTCCTGACTTATGGAGCATTTGTCGATGTCATTCCACACCTCTATGCCCACCAACACGATTCGAATGTTCAGCGGTCTGTAAAACTGAGGGAGACAGAAGACAGGCATCCCTGGGGGATCACGTTAATGAGAACTTACCATGCCGAGTAGAACAGACTGGCAAGTTCTGAACTTCATTGCTGTGACATGAAAAATCTCTCTGTGCTCCCCTGTTCCCATGGCATTAGAACTGGAGGAATATTTTCAGTGTCTGATGCAAGGTGATGTGCTAACTGGGTTCTCAAATGTGGTTGACCAATTAGATGTTAGAGTTGCCAGCCTTTTTGATGTCTGCCCTTATTTTTAGGGAAGCACACATTTCAACCGATTCACTGGTGATTTGAAATGGGCGTATAGATGTGTTATTATTGCTAAAGTCGTTACATTACAGCTAAAGACTGCCAGTTCATATCTACTGCAAGAAAAACAGTAAGTGAATTAGGGTCTTTCAGACACTCTGCCAAGTGCAGTAATTTGTTCATTTTAAGAGAAATGTTCTACCTGTGAGTTACTGAAAATGAATCTGTACTAATTTTTCAGCAAAAAGTCAGATTTTGCTGACCCTATCATATTCTGTCACCTATAATTGACCCAGAAGGTTTTAATTGAATGAACAGATCAGTATCTTTCAGGGTGATAAAGGCGTGCGCAGAACCCTTCTCCAGGAACTTTGAGGATCATTCTTCCCACAGCCAGTTCACCAACAGCGTCATGGGAAAGGTCTGGTAAAGGAAATTCCTCTGTTTTCAGGCATACCACTCACTTCAAGTCTTCTCGCTTTTCTGCGCGCGCCACCCACCCCCCCCCCCCCGGCCGATGCAGGAGACGCGGGTTCGTGCCCCGTTTCGGGAAGATCCCACATGCCGCGGAGCGGCTCGCTTTTCTGCGCGCGCCCCCCCCCCCCCCCCCCCGCCCCCGCATCTTTCTGTGTCCTGACTTCAACCGACAGCCCTTTCTCCACAAACAGATCATCTTGGGTTGGAAGCAGGTAGAGCAACTCTTGCAATGTCTATGGGATAGTTTTGTCCCAGACGAGCTTACTAGGGCAGGATGAGGGGTCAGGGTAGAGGTAAGAACTCCCCATTGCCCCCGACTACCTTGCTACCCCCATGGTATCACACAGACATGGAGATGGCTCTTTGCTCAGGGTCCAGGGGGTAAGGAAGTGGGAATCATCTGGCTGGCTGTACAATCTTTCAAAGCCTGCAACGTGTAAGGCAGCGTGCAATGAGAACATCCTCGTCTTCTGATACTCCAGGCAGCCAAGGAGAAAGATGTGGCAGCTAAAGTCAAGCTCCAGATGGGAGCAGGTCCTATTCTTAGTTGCTAGAAGCCTCTGAGCCAACAAATAACAAAAATCACAGAAGCTCCACATCTGATAGTTAAGCCCCATTCCAATGTGCTGAGCTCAAGGGCAATAAACTCCATGAGGCTCAGCACTGACCCTGGGTTCTGACCCACAAAAGGCAGGTTCATCTCTTCCCTCGCTGATCTCTCCCCAGTCATCTGGTGAGCATTAGGTTAGCAGAAGAATGTGACTGAAGCACAAACTGCATCACAGAGTCTAAACTGATCACAGCGGTCCAAGTTGGTTTCAAGCAGATAACAATTATGGGCATTACATTAATAAGTTAATGAGACAATTATACGACCTAAATGCTGCCTTACAGCTTGTTTTTAATCAAGAATTGCTTCGCCGGTGGTATCCATTTGCGAGCTCCCAGCCCAGGCTTTCCAGGCAAAGTCAAGGTCCTGGCCCCATCTGGACTCTGAGCGCACATGCCTGGCTGCTGAAGAGCTTCCCTGGAGAGCTTACCCTTTCGGCTGTGTTACAGACAACAGTGATCAGAAGGCAGAAACGCAGGCGATCCAGTGCCGACGTCCACACCAGCCTGCCAAGGGACATCCTCAGGGTCAGGGGCCCCGCGTGGGCTGCAGGGTCGTCATCTGTGCTGGGGACACCATGTTTGCCTCTGGAGAGTGTCATATGGAAGTGGTCGCTAAGGTCTGTCAAGGTCTGTCATCATTTCTCAGAGCTGGCTTGGGGGCTTACTGATCAAGGGTCTTTTCATAATAATAATGGGTTGTAGTTTCCATTTATTAGCCGTCTCAGATCACAGAACAGATTTCATATCTAGAAGCATAAAATACAGTCCCTCCTCTCAAAACTGGTGCTATGGACATTCGAATCGCATATGCTAAACTCATGTCACATCATCACAGCAGTCCCATTGCTGCCTGTTGGGATGCTCTTCCCAGGGCTCTGCTGGTGGCTTCCTTTTGGTTCTTCCTAATAACAATGACCACAGCTAACACTTAATGAGCATTTCCAACGTCCTAGGCACAGTGCCACGTGCTTTCCAGGCCGTAGGTCTCTCAGTCCTCACAACACTCTGCGAGTTAAGAACTATTATTATTTCCGTGTTATGGTCAAGGACGTTGAGACAAGGAGGGACCAGGTAGACCGCTTGAGACATGACTGGCATAGCCAGGTTTAAGCATAGGCAGGCTGGTGCCCAGGTTCTAAACCACTAAGTAACCCAGCCAGGTAAGGGTGAGTACTGAGATTCCCTTCCAAGATGATCCATTGCGACCCCAGGCCCAGACAGAAGTACAACTGGAGCTTGGCAGCTGCCTGTGCCTGGCCTATGAATCCCAGGATGCATGTGGACACCATCCAAGACCAGCTGAATTGAGTCACCCACTAACATAGCCACAGCAAGAATCTGGCTGTATGCTAGGCTTGGCACTGGCACAAAGAGCGAGGATTAGGGTACCCTTGTCCGTGGCTCCCAAATGCTCAGAGGTCAGCAAGAGGCTTAAGGCAGGGGATACTTAGCCATTATTCCAGTAAATGCCAATCGAGGGAACTGCCAAGAAGGGTGCAAACAGGAAGTTCAGGGGATGCTGGGCTTGAGGGCTCAAAAGAAGGCTTTCTAGAGGAAGCGGATCTGAGAAAACATGGGTAGGATTACAGGGAGGTCTGCTGGCGTCCAACACGGGAACGTGCACCCCTCAGGCAACTGGTTTGAGAAGTGGGGGGACGAGGACTCACACAAGAGGGAAAATACCTGAAGTTAAACGCACGGAAGATGAGTCCTTCAGAAGTAGGTCACAGAGGTGCAGCCTGAATGGATGCGCAGCTGTTGCTAACTTCGTCATGAGTAAGAAGCAGGACAGATTGGAGGGGAGAAGCCAAAGAGGCTATCACTTACCTGGGCAGCCACACACCCCGCTGCTCCCGCCCTGCAGTATAACTGGGGCCTGGGGGAATGTCTTACTTCCCATGTAAAGGGTTTGTCTGCCAGTACAGCATCGGACGCGCTCTCCGTGTTTCACACACGGGGGAATTGCTTGAACATTTCTGAAAGTCACCTCTGTCCCTAAATCACTTCTCGGACTCTCAGTCCAGGATGTGCTTCTCCCTCCTCCCTTCAAGCCAGTGCAGCCGGCCAAGCAGTTATTAGTTAAGAATAGCTAAGAGCCGCCAAGATTTCCGCAAATGAGGAAGCTGCCACTGGAACAGTCATTGTTTTTTAAGCCAAGATGCTCCCACTTGTAGTTGCAAAGCTGAACTTTGGCATACTTGCTAGAGCCCAGGGCCCATCAGTTAGTAGACCTGGGTGAACAGGACATCCCAAGGAGCCTGGGTACCCCAGTGGGTCTTCAGGGTCTGTTGGGGACAGACACATATGTGCGCCCAGCAATTCAGCTTTCTCCTTGCCAGAAACACAAGAACAGGCAGGCTGGTGAACTCCACGGAGTCTGTCGGGACTTTTCTCAGATATATTGTTCTTTAATTACCAGGGCAGATTATTAACAAACCCCCAGTTGCTCATTTCTGGTTTTGCAGACTGAAGCAATATATAATACAGAATAATATGTAAAGAAACACAAACGTGGAAGACCAAGCACATCACCTTAAAATAGGATTTCAGCAATTAGCAGCCCGAGTTTAATATTGTTCATGGTTTCTGTTTACTTCCAAGGCCTAAGAAGTACTTGAATTCTTTGTTTCCATCTGGATGTTGTCCCGTCTCACTGGAGGCCGTCTGGAATGTACTCACCCAAGGCCCCACCCAGGCCAATCAAACCAGAGTCCCTGGACTGAGACTTGGAATCAGCATTTTGAAAACAAACATATAGACAAACACACACACAAACAAACCAACAAACCTTTCCAGGGCATTCTAATGCCCAGCCCAGACTGAGAACCATGTCTGACTCCTACGGTCTCTGGCATAACCTCTGGGATCCATCTCTTACCCTCCCTGCCAGAAGGACTGGCCATTCACAAAAATTCTCCTGCATCCACTTGACTTTAGGATAAAGTTTAATTTTCAAAAAGTAGCTATTCAAAATATATCAGCAAGCATGGGCCGCCTGGGAGTCTGACCTGCCTAAAAGTTCTGGTGGACGAGGATGGTACCATCTCAGGGTGCCATCAGCCATCTGTGTTTTTTCCCGCTTTCAGAAAGTTCCATCCAGCCATAGCCTCTGTCTGAGCACCAGGCCCTGATCTCTGACTGCTCAGGGTACCCCAGGAGACTCCCGCTCTCGCTTCTTTGGGTATGAAGCCTCTTTCACCTGCCATCCCAAACTTGGGCTCATTGGACCCCTGCTCATCTCAGCCTCTGCTTCTGCTCAGTCAAGGAGGGCTGGGATACACAGTAAGCAGGTAGATTCAAGGTCAAAAACTCCTGCAGAGGAGACCAGGGCTTATTCCTGGTGCTGCCTTTCAATGCTGTTTGAACATGTGCTGATTACTTAACTAGCCTCTGCAAACCTCCGCTATAAAAATGGGAATACCGGTATCCACCCGGGAGTGTCTGCAAAGCACTTAGAGCCTGGCACGTAGCAACTGCTCAATACATTTATTAGGAACCATCCCTTCAAATATCTCTACATCCTCGTCTTTCTCACATCCCCACTTCCCCAGCCCCGGGTCAGATCCTCATAATTTCTGTACAATAGACGCCTACCAGCTGTATTTGTCTTTGGTAACTCCATCCTCCACACTAACTGCAGGCACAGCTGTGTGTGATCCTGTGTGTCTCCCCTGCCTAAAAACATTCACCTTGCTCTCCACTGACGGCAGAATAAAATCCCGATGGGGACTAGATGGCTCCGCAGGGCATTCAAGGCCCTGCCACTGAATCCCCTGCAGCTTCATCTGCTCCTGCCCTAGCTGTGCACACACACACAATTATGATACACACACACACACACACACACACACACACACACACACCACTTAGTTAGATGGAGTTACTCGCCATGTCCAGGCTCGTGGGGAGCAAGCCAGGCCCTCCCCGCCTGTGCTCCTGGTGAAACTTTACTCACCTTGCAAAATCGCCTCCCTGCAAAGCCTCCCTGATGCCCAGGAAGAAGTAAGTGATTCTCTTCTGCATCCCCATAGCACCCGATTGACAGCATCGACCTGGTTCCCATCACGCTGGTCCATGCTAAGTGGCTTATGGGTCTGCTTCTCTACGAAGCTGTGACCTCCCTGAACAGATGGACCACATCTGATACATTCCGAATTCTTGATGCACGCTGCTCGGTACTGCCCATAAGTCCTCGTAGGATGGAGTTGAATCTCCGGAAGGCTTTTGTTTTCATTTTCCCGAAAACTTTGAAAACTCACTTTAAATATTATATAATAGGATTGTTAGGAAACATAGCTACCGTGAAGCATCCACAAACTGCTATGTGTAAAATGTGAGCATTTCAGAGAATCCCGGCCATGAGAGATTCAGCAATGAGCCGGGGCCCCTTTCCTCTCCCACTGTCCTCAGAGGCAGGAGACAGGCTATTGCTAAGAATTATGGTTACGTTCAGACAGGGGCTGCCAGCCACATAGCACGTGAGAACCACCTGGGAGCGCCTACAAAGCCTAATATCCAGGCCCCACCCAGACACCCAAGCAGCAAGGCCTTTGAAAGCTTCCAGGCAACGCCAACATGCTGTGGGCTGAGAGCCCTCAGCACCCAACAGCCTGACGCTCTCCCTGCAGGGTCCGTCGCTGAAGGCAGGTGGCGTACGTAGATGGTCCCACCTCCTTGCGAACAGGTCGCGTAAGGAGCATTGGCGAGAGAATACACCTGGGTCAGAGCAGACTTTCAGGATCTCTTCCAGCTCTGAAATCACCTTTGCAAAGGTGAGCTCCCTCCCGAGTTCTCAGTGAGGGATTTTCTGACGGCCGATTGAGCCGAAAGCCGATTTCTGTGTCCTGGGACTGTGGAGCCCGTGGGTCCCTTATCAGTGAGAGCTCACCCTCAGGGGGTCTGTGGGACCTGCCCAGGGAGGCCTGGGAAGAGGCCTGCTTGGAGCTCTCAAGAGGGTCAGATGCACCCTATTGGGATTCTGGATCTAACTGGGGAGGTCAAAACGCCTTCCTGGCCAGAAGAGAGCCTGGCGGGAGATGGATGCCAAGGCCACCGAGGTCCAGACAGCGTGGGGTGGCATCTCCTGCAGCTGCTCCAGGCCCCAAGAATTCTCAGAAGAAGGGGAAGTTGGGTACCAGCCCAGGACCGGAGGCAGAACCCGAGCTCCCTAAGTCAGATGGGATGTGTTTCATTCCCTCCACCTCATTCCCAAACATTTACATGCTGTGAGTGATCTAATTACCCGCAGGGAACTTACCTTGTCAACGTGATTAGCGATCTCTATTAATCGTTGTTTGACTTTTTCCAGGTCTTTTCCTTGCCTCTGAAACTTAATAATTTTAAATGTCAGCGTTAACAGTGGCAAGGCTATCAATCAATCTCATCTTCGCAGCTCCTGGGAATGTGAAGTCTCAGGCCCTGCAAATCCCCCAGGGCCCTCCCTGGGTAATGGTGAAGTGAGCTCCCATCCTGCCCAGTAATTTCCCCATCCAGGGACTTTCTGAAACTCCCTGAAATTCACCCAAGCCAAGTGCTCAGAAGACAGTAACTTTTGTGAATTTTCCAGCCTCATAAATGATGGAGGCAGTGACACGTTTTGGCATCGAGCAAACGGACACAACAAGAAGGCAGTCCAAAGCCATTCTTCATATCATCAACTTGATTTTAACTTCCTCCGAAATCTCCTTTATATTTGTTTTTAAAAAATTAAAGAGTGAAGGTAATAGAAGCGCATGTGGCAACAAGTCAAACAATACAGAGAATGTGGATGAAAAGTTAATAAATTCCCACTTCTCCCGGCTAATCTGAACTTCCAGAGTGGGAACAGTTGCCTGTGAAATTGTCAAGTCTGTTTCATTCATATGCGTTGAGCCAGTCTGGGAGAAGATGTCACCTAATTCATAATAGGTAGGAGAGGCAAGAAAAGGACACAGGGAAGATAATCTCAAAAATAATGATAATTAAAAATTAATTAAAAGAAAAAAAAAAACTCATACATCATCAAGCCCTACTTTGGAAGGTAGGGTTTTTCTGCTGTGTCTACAGCCTTCATTCATTCATTCATTTTGGTTTAGGACATATCGGACATGTTTAAGCTAAACTTTTCCCAAAAGTGTTTCAGAACACATTCTAAAACCATCTGCCATTTCCCACAAATGATTCTCCCTGTTTGGAGAGCTTAGCTACACGGCAACTCTGCAGTCCTTGCTAATATTTTGTAATACCAGATACATTTTTAATATTTTATACTTTATAATATCAGGAAACCACTTTTTTCAATGGGTTGTTTACAATGCTTTTAAGGCCTCGTGGAAAATGAGGTTAAATAAAGCAAGTAATAACTTGCTAAACATTTTCTTTTGCCTTTTTTTTTTTTTTCAACCAACCGATAAATTTCAGAAAGTTCTTACCTCTCGGTTGTCTGCCACAATAACGAGCTCTACATACTTGGTCGTCTTGAGGGTCTCTCTTTTTTGCTGCCAAAAGTAAACATGGGTTTAATTTCCCTGACTGCCTCTCTGGGGCTTCCCGAACACTGTCAATGTGAACACTGTCAATGTCTCTCGACTCAAGCACTTGAACTAGGGGACCCCCACCAGCCCTACCGACATCACTGGCTCCTACACCACTGTCCCACCTAGAAGTTCACCTCCAACCGCAAAAACCTCTGTAAAACCTTCTCAACGTGAGCGGCCACTTTCCATTTCCATCTGGGAAATCCTTAAAAAGGAATCTAACCTTTCTGCTGAATCACTGATTATAGGATCAGAACAAATTGAGATCATTATTAAACAAAACACATGTAAACAAGCAAAACCAAAGCTCTCTCTGGAACAGGAGCCAATGAACTCTTCATTTTGGGCTGGATGTAGCACATTTCAAGATCACTACAGAAGATGATGGAATCAGGGTCTCACGGGTGTTCCCTTTGCCTTTGTGGTCTAGTTTTGTGATGTGGGAAAAGCCGATATATAAAGCGAATATATTTTGAGCAGGAACTGCATAGCCCTTCTGGGGCAACACTGAGTAGTCCATTCCAGGGAGCTGATTTCTGCAGGTGATCATTTAAAAATCTGGTTAGAAGCAAAGGAAGAATAGGGAACAGCCAGGCGGATAAATGGGGAACAGCCAGGCGAGAAGGCGGCGCTAGGAGCAAAACCAGAACGGAACAAGAGAAACAGAATAGGAAGAAACAGTGTCAAGAGAAAAAAAAAAAAGAGACTGAAGCATGCCACTGGAGAAAAAGGACTGGTAGGAGTGCAATAGTTGAGAAGAAGACAGAAATTGTATATCAAGGGGTAGGGGCTGAAGATGATGCAGAGAGCCCAATATGAACGCCCTCCCAAATCAAGGCAGCCTCTGAAGTCGGTGACATTTTAATCATGTTTCTTCAAAAAACATCTGTACTCTTCCATGAATTACTGGGAGAATCCCAAAGGCACTTTCAGAAGGAAAAAAAGCAATTCATGGAGGGTGGTCTCAAGAAGCAAACATTAAAAACAAAAAACAAAGCCTTCAGTTTCTGTAATAAAATTCAGTCGGAGGAAATGAGGGTTGAACTGGTCCCGGTCCTCATAACTGATATCGCTGCTGTATGAGTTAACTACACACACTGCTTAATGTTGAAGACTTGCATGTTATAACCACGCTTTCAGACAAAAGCAAAAATGACCAAGGCATGCTTTGAATCAGCTTTCCAGTCACATAATCCTGAGGGAAACATCTTTTATAAAACAAATCCCCATCAGTCCGGGATCTTCCAAACAGATTTTTACAGGAAAAATGTTTGTATCATAGCAGTGTTCCTCCTTGCGGCCCAGCTGTGCTGATTCATGAATTTAGGTATCCCTAAAGAAATCTGGAAACCTTATGGAGGAAGGAAAAATAAAGAACCATGAAAGGTATAATTTCTCATACTTTCACAACGTTACAAGGGAGAAAAGTTAAGCTTTGTAACTATACGTTGTAGGCATGCTTTACGGTGAAAACTACGTTCTCACAAAGGAAAGAAGATTAGCCCCAGCAGTACCCACTGGTTTATGCAAAATGAGACACACCTCGAAGCGTGAGGATCTTGCCCCTTCTCCTTATTCAGGTGTGGAAAGCAGAAGCCTCTCTTCCCCCCATAATTCCCTGATTTACCATTAACAGATTCAGCTCATCTTACAGAAGAAAATACAGCTCTATTAAAGAAAAAATAAACTAGCCTCCCACTGAAAAACTCATAGGGAGAGCCCTGGTTGTTCAGATGTTTACACCTTTCATACTGCAAAGGGGTGAAATAAACGACCGGGGAATATTTCCAAATGGCCTTGGATCATCATTTAGAAAATACACAATTCCAGATAATGAAAACAAACACATGAACCCAATTTTCCTGTCTCTGCAGTTTTCAGAGAAGTCCAAATTTTCTCATGAATGCAGAGAATTGCTAGCTCAGAGAGAAACCTAACCACATAATAATAGAAAGCCGTGGGGGAGTGGCTGGCTCATGGCCGCAAAGGTTCCCTCTTCCCTCAGCTGCACACACAGAGAGGCTCAAATTACCTCCGCATGATTTCCACCTATCTGGGCTATCCGGTTAAAAAAATCATATTTAAAATGTTTGATATACAGAGCAACATTTGAAACTGGTTGCTTGATTGAATTTTCATTTTGGGGGGTGATGATAAACAAAAGCCCTTCCCCAAACAGATAAGAGTATATAAGCCTCTGAGAATGGCCCAACCATTCTCTACTCCGAGGTGCAGACCGAGGGGTTCTTTGAGTCTTGCGCAAGCGGGAAGCTGTTCCTGGGCCTCTCAAAGTCATCGCAGCCAAGTTCTCGGGGAGAATGACCCCTACACATGTTACAACAAGAACTCTGGCATCGGGAACTTAACTCAACCCGAGTCAGAAAACAAGTCGAGATGAGGGTGACAATAAATTCTCATTGCAACTCTCTCTTCCTATGGGCCAGGTCCCTGAAACGGTGCTTCAGGGAGACGGGATAACACAGCACAAGTCCTGAGGCTGGGGAGAGCTTGGAGTGTCGTAACAGCGGGCAGGATGGCTATCGTCTGGTGAGTGAGGGAAAAGTGTGGATGAGATGTGGCTGAAGATGGAGACAGAGGACAGGGGCCATGGCGAGGAGGCTGGCCGGTAATCTCATTATCGGAGAGCAGTGGGGGATCCTTGAATGTGAGGTTCTTTACATATCACTCTGGCTGCTGGGAGGAGAATGGATTATCGGGGGACCATAGGGGAAGTGGAGGGTGCAGGTGAGCGCTGGTGACAGTTTGAGGCTGTAAGGATGGAGACAGGAAAACAGAGTCAAGTTGGGTGTTTTAACCAAACGACAACAACAAAACAATAACAATGGAACCAGGACCATTTCCATAGACGATAAGATCAGCAAATTTGATGAATCAGAAGTTTGGTTTAACTTCCTCTGAGTAAAGAAAGATCATCGTTGGCTCAAGCCAGGCTCCGTGCCTTGCCTCTAAGGCCACTTTCTGAATATGTATGAACTGAGTCCTGGTCTCTGCTGTGAAAGGTCATCTCTACCATCCTTACCAACGATTTGCATGGGGACCAAGCGCACAGATCATATCTGCGTGGGGTACAGCCTCTGAGGTCTGGCTAATGACACAGGCTGCAGAGCCAGCAAGCAAACGAGACAAATGCTGGAAGAATGGGCTGAATCTGATGAACTGAATGTTGATGGGGACAGACGCAAAGTATTGAAATTGAGTCTAAAACGCCAGTGGCAGAAGTGAGAGCTGTTATTTACCCATCTAGAGTTTCAATCGATACAAGAGTCAATAGGAATGCACACCTGGATATTTTGGAACCTCGGTTCACACTGAGAGACGCTCAGAGCTCAGGGCCAAGGAAGCAATAGCAGTGCTGGCTCTGTTATCCACCAAGATTTAAGAACGACCAAGGCAGTAAAGGAACTTGGTATGTATGGCCTCTTAGAGGAGGTACAGAGGTGAGGGTGGTTATATTAGAGAAAAATTAAACATGTCTGATCTAATTAACAAGTTTTCCAGTGGTTCTGGCCAGTTCCAGATATTCAACTATTACTAGACTCTACAGATAATACACATTACTGTTAATACTACTCCCACCATCACTACTGTGACATCTGTTAAACCAATATGGCAGCCTGTCTAGAAACCCAAAAGCAACAGCCCTGGTCCATTTCAGAGTGGCTGCCTTTGAGGAAACTACGGGGTCTCCTTGACCAGATGTCCTACTTGAACTCAGTAGCCCAAGCAAACATGGCTTTCTAGAGAAGGCACTGACTTTTACATTTGACTCCTAATTATCCACACTAGTGGAGGGGAACAATAGCACAGATAATCCCTGGAGACGATAATTCAAAAATAATTTACATTTGCCTTCGGGATGTATTATGTGATTTTGTCCAGTAGCAGATTTATGGCCTTCACCTTCTTTAGAGTCTGCTCAGGCTTCCATTAAAAGTCGTTTGCGTTTTTGAATGAACAGCTGATGGACAGGGAGGGATCAGTCACAGGAGGGCTGAGTGGCAGGGGCTCTGCAGGCTGGACTTGAAAAGGTGCAGAGGAGGGAACCGGCGAGGAAGCCCTGTGACTGCAGGCACCCTTCCAGAAGCAACTTGGGTTCTCACTAAAATCTAATGTAAAGCCTTGTAAAAATGACAAACAATAGCTCAAGCTTATCTTATAGCCAGTGCGCACCCCGAGTGCAGATTTATTCCTG